GCTTTTTTTTCGCATAAACTCTATTCAGTATTTATTGACAGCAAAATTTATTTGATATTTACAATAATAGTTGTTATTAACCTTTTAAGTTGTATTCACAAAATTATTTTGCTGTTTACTTTCAAAGCAGTAAATCGATCTTTATTCCTTCTGTTTTTTTTTTCACTTCTCATTTTAATTATTTTTTCTTTTCATTTCTTCACCTTTTCTCTCTCAGTCTTTCTTCTTCATTTTCACCGCTAATATCATCTCATTTTGTCAAACAGAAAAAAAAACCAAAAATTCATAAAAACCTCTGTGAAACATTCACCTTTATTGACTAAATGCTAAACATCGATACTAACAATGTTCTTTTTTTTTTCCTTTATTTGCTCACCCTTCTCATCTCCCTTTCGTCTCAAAGAAAAGTCTAAATGAAAAGAAAAATAAAAAGAAAATTTTTTAAATTTATTATGCAGAAAGAAAAAAATTTTTTCTACTAATAATTTGTCATGAATTCAGTAATAATAACAACCCAAACAGATAGAGAGAAAAAAGTGAAAATGAAAAGAAAGAAAATTAGTAAATTTGAATTTCATTTTTGTTTTTTCGTTTTTCCCCCTTCTTTTGCTTTTCCTTTTCAATTCAATGAAAATAAAAATGATACAAATTTACAGTTGTAATAACAGTGGTTTCAGTCCAAATGTCAAATGAAGTTTATTTATATCCAAACAAACAGACATATTAATGGATCTTTAAATTCGTTTTTATTTTTGTTTCTTTTTTTTTTCCTTCCCACTAACAACCCGTACATTAAGCATGAAAAAAGAATTTGAAGAAATGTACAACCTCTTCAGCCTATTCATCACCTCCCTCTTTCCATCTCTCATTTCATCCCCACCCGTTTTTCGTTTCAATCCTTCTGATTTATCAACAGACAGCAGCAACAGCAGTAAGAACAATCGACAACAACAAAAACTGTACTGTCTATTCGAGATGTGCCAAACAAAAAAAAAAAAAGTGATCCAGAATTTTGTACTACTTCTTCTACAGAAGATATTCCTCATATTTTTCAGATCAACTTCACTGAAGAAGCAAACATCAACAACAACAACAACAACAACAACAGTAGCAACGCCATTAGACAACATCTGAGCCATCATCAGCCAACGGCAAACAGCAAAAACGGTGGTGACGCGACAGCAGAAGCGTATGAAACAAAAAAGATATTTTGTCTACCCAAACTGTAATTCAATTAAATTTTTCTTTTTTTTTTTTCGTTTTTTTTTTTTCGCTTTTTATTTACTGATTAGCAGATTTCTGTTGTCTTTTGTTTGTTTGTTTGTTTTTTGCTATGGAACAACAAAACTGATAATTAACACTAACAAAGTTTCTAAAACATATGAACAACACCAGTAAAACGACAAGGACAGATGATGAACGATAGCAGCAAATCGGTAGTATGTTACGACAATTGTAATGAATACATAAAGAAGGGAATTTTTTATGCTTACAACAGCAAAACTGATAACGAAATTCTTTATTTATTTATTTAGTTATTTTTTGCTCAAGAATCTGGTATCATCTTGATCTTAGTGGTTTGGATGATGATATCGATGACAACTATTAGAAGAGGAGTGTTTAAAAAGAAAAAAAGAGTAATAATAATAATGTAAAAAAAATAGATGATGAAAAAATTTTTTAGCAGAGAGAACGTAAAAAAAAAAAAAACAAAAAATGGAAAACTATAAAGGAAAAAAAAAAGTAGTGGAAAGCAGCAATTTAAAAAAAAAAAAAATCAAATGGATCAAAAGGAAGAGTTTTTGTTCGTTTACTTTTTTTTTTTTTTTTGGGTTGGAGGGTGGCGGAGAGGGAGGGGAAGGGGAGAGAGAAGGGGGGAGGAGGGGGGAACATAAACGTAATTAATGTTGCAGAATGGAATTGATCAAAATCAATTATTATTTTTGTTGTTTTTTTTTCTATACTTTCTATTTTTCATTTTCAGGTGGGAAACAAGAGGAAGGAAAAAAAAAGGACGAAAAGGAAACGAAATGAATGAAAAATGAAAGAGAGGGAATAGAGGTGTTGATATATAACAAAAGTATATAGTTTTTTTTTTTTTTACAATCTTTTACTTTTTTAATTCTTTTTTTTTAATGCTGTCATCGTTGTTGTTGTTGTTGTTTTTGTTGTTTTTGTTGTTTTGGAAGAGCTTAGCTCTTTCAAAACAAATAAAAAAAAAAAAAAAAAAAAAAATTTCATGAATATTTAAAATTGATGCATTTTTTGAAAGGGGGGAGAGAGGGGGTGGGGGGGGGAGGGGGTGCCCAAAAAAGAAAAAGATGAGGATGGAGAATGGGTTTTAAGAGAGCAACAAACACTGAAAAATTTTCTAAAATAACAGAACTGTTTATTATTTGATGAATTTTTCTTTTTTTTTTTTTTTTGCGCAAATGAACTGCTTCTGTTACTGCTGCTCTAAGCTTTTTTTTTTTTTTTTTTTTTTTTTTTTTTTTT